CCCCCCCCCCCCCCCCCCCCCCCCCCCCCCGCATAAAAAGAGTTAACACTCAAAATGGTTACTTCTAGAGACAGTTAACATTAGAACAGGTGGCCATCTAGAAGCAGGAAATCCAAGGACACCTGAAGCTTGCCTCAGGTGTCCTGGGAAACACCGGGAGCTAGGGATGCGGCTCTGTGCAGAGCACTGGCTGGTTGTATAAAGCTCTGGGCTCAATCCTTAGCATGGTCCAAAACAAATAATTGAAGACCTTGGAATCAGCTTCAGTAGATTAGAGAACAGATAGCAAAGAAAACCAATCAGAACAACTGACTGGGAACAGAAAAACAGATCTTCAGATATTTGATTGTCAAAAGTACATATTAGATTTCTAAGCAATGTCCCGGTGGATTCTCCAGGTTTACAAGCCCTTCGTGAAATCCACACACCTGATTGTTGCGGTTCTCCTGCAGCGGAGAGGTGGCATCATCAGGAAAGGAGCTGACATTTCTCCTTTTCAGCATCTGGTCATCCTTCTTAGCTTTCCTCAACTCCACATTAACTTCTATCCGGCGCCGTCTCATTTCCTACACGCAGAGAAGGTTTATCACTTCACCTATGATATCAGCTTTGGAGCCAGGTGACTAGTTTTCTTTCAGTGTCAACCCCTTCTCAACAAACATCTTCCAATTCTAAAATATCCCAAAAAACCAAAAACCAAAGGTACTCACCGTGCTGTCTTTTCCCTTGTTCTTGAATCTGTTCAGCCGGGCAGCTGGTGAATTAGCATTCTCATTGGTGGACATGGTTGAGACAAAGGGAGAAAGCTAGAAGCTAGGAGGGGGGAAAAAAAAGAATTCCCTAATTTCATTTCGCTTTGTCAACAAGGAGAGCACCAAGCAGGCACAGAATTATCAGCCACCTACTCAGCCCACCCCTGAACCACCTACAAGTACCTTCCAGTTCTCAGCGTTGTAGGTATAGTTTTACTCCAAGAATAGCTGTCCCCTTCTTAGACTAAAGTACAGACTTCCTGGAACAACTGTCCATCAGAAAGCTAATGCAAGCCACATAAATCTTTCAGTAACCGCATTAAAAAGAAAAAAAAGAATGATACTATTTTACCCAACTACTACCTAGACATGTTAGCAATAATTAAAAAAAAAGGTTTTACACTTCCCATACATCTCCAACCTGTGTCCTGCAGCACACTGTGGACCTCTACTGAGACCGGTGACTTTTGAAACACCTGGCCGTCCCAAGATCAAGACGGTGGGCTCTTAACATTCTGGAATCTATGAAGGTTAATCCAACCCCAAGTGGGGATAGACGAATGACAATGACTTGTGGGGACCTATGTCCTCACAGGGCAGTAAATTCAGATGCTCTATAGAGGCTCTCTGAACTTCACTGTCATCCAGTGACCACAAGTAAGGACCTTCTCCACACCGGAACGTTATATAAGCATTGGAGCCACGCCATGACGGGGCCCGGCATAACCAGCTTTGTCCCCGGTGAACACTGGAAGCTGCAGCGCCCCGCACACATCTGCACTTCCTGATCGTTTCAGGCGGATGCGGGGAGGTGTCAGGAAGGTCCCAATTCGCTATCCTCAATTCCCCGCGGCTCGCCCACGACAGGGACACAGCCAACCCCAGGCCCCGGCGTCAGAGATCGCCTTCCCCGAAGCAGCTCCGCCACGGCGAGCCCCGAGCGCCGAGCTCCGGGAGGGCGCGGCGCGGACCGAGGAGAGGCCGGCCGCCGCTTCCAGCGGCCCCTCCCCGACCCTCGCTCCGGGCCCGCCGGGATCAGCTGGCGCATTCTGCACCCTTCGCAGCGCCCTTAATCCCCGACCCAGTCTCCACCTCCACGAACCGAGCCCCCGAGGCCCGATCACCCGGGGAAGGAAAGCCAAACAATCCCCAGGCCCGCCCGGACCGGATCCCTCTCCCCCCCTGCCCCCGCCCGAGCCTCCCCTCCCGCGATCGCCAGGCCCCGCGCAACCCCGCGACCGCCAGGCGTCGGCGCCGCGGCGGGGACGGAGCCGGGGTCCACCATACCAGGAGATCGGGCTGAGGCTTCTTCGAGAGGCGGTGCGGGGTTCACCGGGAGCGGATCCGCTGCCCTCGAAACGTCCAACGCGGCTCAGCCCAGGGACGGTGTGCCTCGTGCCGCCGGCCGGCCCGATTTAAATTTCCCGGTGACTCTGCACTCCGATTGGCTGGTTCGAGCCCAAGCTGCGCGCCCATTGGAGGATTTGAAAAACACGTTAGGCGGGGCCGAAGGGGAGGGGTCCTGGGGCCTAGAAGAAGGAGGAGGAGCAGGAGGAAGACAGGACGGCATCGCGAGACCAGGGAGCGGTCTGGGGCCGGGCCTGCGCGCCCCAGATCCCGGCATGCAGCGCGAGCGCCCGCTTTCCTCGCTGCGGCGTCCTGGGAGCTCGGCGGCTGCAGGGCAGCGGGGCGCAGGCGTCGTGTCCGTTCGCTTCTTCCCCCCCCCTTTACCCGCTTGCTTGCTTGCTTGTTTTTTAATTGCATCATAAAAGACTTGTGTGGAAACGGTAATACAGTAGCACAAGCTTTGTCTGGAGGGTCAACGTTGTTTGGTTATGTATTGTCATCTCAAATGCAGAGTTACAAGCTTTCGCGTAGTGCATTCGCGTAACTGTATCCATGGACCCCTGGCTTCTTTGTTTTGTGTCTGTGCTGCTCCTGGGGCTTGAACTCACATCCTGGAAGATGGCCTGGAGCTCTTCTACCCAAAGCTCAAGCTCTACCACTGGAGCCACGGCACCATTTCCGGCTTACTGGTGGTTCTTTGGCGATAAGACTCTCACAGACTTTCCTGCCTGGGCTGGCTTTGAACCGAGATCCTCAGATCTCAGCCTCCTGAGTAGCTAGGATGACAGGCGTGAGCCACCAGCGCCCGGCTGCAAGACTGTTTTTTTTTTTTAAATAAACCATAAACCACCCCAAGTTCAATAAAAAGATGAACTTCTGTGCTATTAATACAGTCTGAATTCATGATTGTCTGTTGTTGCTTTTTGTTTTGTAATGCTGGAGATGACTACAAGCATTTGGATCATGAGCTGTTAGTGTTTGCTTTCAGCAAGTCTTCTATGTCCTAAAAGGGGAGTTCTTTAGGAAAGTTGTATTGGTCTCTTCTGTACCACTAGTAAGTTCAGTGAACTTTGTCCATTCTGCCTGGCAGGAGTTCATGCCAGTCCCACTCACAGAGTAGCAGCCAAGGTAGGAGGCTGCTCCTACACCTAGTCAACATAATCCCTTCCCTGTAAATGTAAGAATGTGGAAGGAATTCATCTCTGAACCAATCACTGCAGAGCACTCTCAGGCCACTGTGAATGGTTCTGGGGCAGGGACAGGCACAGGACTTTAACCTGCTTGGAGGTCTTTGCTTTGGTTTAGAAGCTGGAGGTTGGAGTCTAGGCTGTGATTTCTCTTTCTTTCTTTCTCTCTCTCTCTCATTTCTTTATTGAGATTAGGTGGTTACATAAATTTCTCAGTATTGTGGGGTAATGATACTTAGCTAAAGTCATAAATACACTTTAACCTTCACAAAGGGAATTGTCATTATCATGATCCATAAAGTTTGTGAACTCTACCAACTTTGACAGTACAACTATTTCTTCCAAATCGGGTGATATGTACATTTCTTTCCTTTTTCTTAGTGCATACTGTTCCCCCTTTCCTCTCATTCCCTCCCTCCCAAGCTCTCATGGCTGCCCTTGAGTTACTTAGTTCACTTTCATCAATGTTGTGGTCTTCTCTTAATGGAGAGATTTGAATCTTGTAAATCTGAGTTAGGGAACTGTACAAATACTTTGAGAGCTCTGATCCACAGTATCCTAACCTTGGAGAGCTATAGTTATCTCTGAAGTTTTGTACTTATGTGATTCACTGTGTCTTGTGCTTGTTTTTAGGGCTTGTAGTAGGAAGACCCCTACTCAGGCAGGCAAGCCCACCTAGTCGTCCGGAGTGACAGAGCCCACTGCAACAGAGTTGTTAACAAAGAAGCAACTTTCTTGAGAAGGTTCCTACACTGACTGATCAGGGCCACAACATAGGCTCTGGAGCTGATACTGTGACCCTGAGCGGCCCCCATTCTTTGGTTTTAAAAGGCAAAATCCATGAGATCAAGCCTGGTCACTGGCAGGTGAACAATGGGATCATAACACACACACAAAGGATTGTACGGTCACACCCGACCACACACAGGTGGCCAATGAGGTTACAGTTTGCTTGTAATGGCTGTTTAGACCAGCCATCACCTTGGTTTAAAATGGCACACAAATTTAGTGGGTGAGGTCTACCTTTTGGGGGGGGCAAAAGGCAGAGTTTACTGTAAGCATGTGCAAAAGGCAGGGTTTACTGTAAGCACGTGGTATCACCAGTTAGAGCCAGATTACAACTTATCTTTTTATGGGTCAGTCTTTTTTTTGGGGGGGGAAGGGGGTCCAGTTATGGGGCCTGAACTCTGGGCCTGGGCGCTGTCCCTCAGCTCTTCAGCTCAAGGCTAGTGCTCTACACTTGAGCCACAGCACCACTTCTGGCTTTTTATTTTGCTTATGTGGTGCTGAGGAATCGAACCCAGGACCTCATGCATGCCAGCTTGGGCCACATCTCAGGGTCTACTTCAGACTTTGGACAGGGATCAAATGGTATTGCACTGGCATATATGTATTTTTTTTTACAAGGCTAAATTTTCTTTGGCTTGAAAATCATAAGTACTGTGCTTCTCGAAGTGTTTTGAGTGTTATGCATGTCTTTATACATTTAATTGTCACTCCTCTGCCAGGTGGCTCTGTTACTCCATTTCTCAGATGAGGAGAATGAATCATGAGTAAGTAATTGATACTGGTTTACATAGCTAACAAATGACAGAGCCAGGATTCAGACCTAGGCATTCTAGTGCTCTCAACCATGAAAAGAACCTCCAAGAGAAGTATACTATCAAAAGTTGCCTTTGAGGGGCTGGGAAGGTGGCTTAGTGGAGAGTGATTGCCTAGCATGCATGAAGTCCCAGGTTCGATTCTTCAGCACCACATAAACAGAAAAAGGTGGAAGTGGCGCTGTGGCTCAAGTGGTAGCCTCAAGCAAAAAGCTCAGAGACAGTGTCCAGGCCCTGAGTTCAAGCCCCAGTGTCACCACCAAAAAGCAAAAAAGAAAGACAATGAAGCACCTGGGGGACAGAGGAGGGTGCCAACAATGTTAAGACAGGTCTAAGGGAGGACAGGAGCGAAGGGAGAGAGGGAGGAAGGAAGGGAATGCTGGCGGAACATACTCTCCTACTCTAAGCCACTGCAGTTTCAATGTGGAATCAGGAAAGACCTTATCTGGCTTCCGCCCACTAGTATATTCCACCCACCAGACACGGAGACGGGATAATTTCTACAGTTTGAGAGTCTCCTCCCCGGGAAAGGTTACTGTTCTAGAAGCTTAATCTGTGTACGGTGATGTTGGGCAATGGTGGGGCCTAATGGGAGGTATTTAGGTCATTGGGAGGTTAGCCTTTAGAAGGGATTAGTTTACTTGGGCTCTGGTTAGGCCTTGAGAGCTTAGCTTGCTATAGACCTGGCCCCTAAGTGTCTCTTGCTGGCTGTTCCCTTTTTTAAAAAATATTGTTACCACGGTGCCATTGGCCATGATGTGATGTTACCAAGCAGGTTTTTGTTAGGTTTTTAAAAGAGGTAGTCAAGTAAGACCAGCAGCACGCACGTGGTATTCAGGTAAGGGGTAGGTTTATTCAATAGACCTGCTGGGACCAGGCAAGGTTGGCATTCCACGTGGCTGGGAAAGACCTGGGAATGAGAGAGAGCTGGGAAAGAGAGGAAAGAGCTAGAAAAGAGCAGAGAGAGCTAGAAAAGAGTAGTGAGAGAGCAAAGTGAGTGTAGAGTGAGCACAGAAAGAGCAGTGAGAGAGAGCAGAGAGAGCAGAGAGAGAGAGCAGGGAGAGCTAGAAAAGAATAGAGAGAGCAGAGAGAGCGCAGAGAAAGGGCTTCTGGGCCTGGGCTAGGCCTTATCTAGGGTATGGGCGGAGAAAGGTGTGGCCACATCAAATTCAGATGTGACCTCAGTGGATGCAGATGTGGCCTCTTCCAGGTGTGCCAGTTGCCTAGGTAACGCAGGTACTGGGTGGAGACTTTGCTGCAAGGAGGGTGGAGTCTGCTGGCCATCCAGGAGCTGACCTTACAGTTTTCACTAGAGCTGAGCAGAGATGCCAGTATCTCATGTTTCGTCTGCTACATAAAACCTCTTTTCTTTGCAGATTACCTAGCATCACGTATTTTGTGATAACACAAAATGGATTAAGAAGCTTCACACTGCAATCCGATGCTTACTAAGGCTTTTGAGCGTTGAGATGTCTCTGTCCTCACTGACTGTATTGAAATGATGTGAGTAGAGAATGGAGCCACTTCAGAGATGCAAACCCAAAAAGACAGAGCCTGGTGACACTTGATTCAGCTCAGGCCCAAATTTGGTTCATAGATTCAGATTATAACTCAATAAGTTCTCTTTTTCTTTTTTTTTTGGGTCCGGTCATGGGGCCTGAACTCTGGGCCTGGGCGCTCTCCCTCAGCTCTTCAGCTCAAGGCTAGCACTCTACCACTTGAGCCACAGCGCCACTTCTGGCTTTTTTATTTTTGCTTATGTGGTGCTGAGGAATCGAACCCAGGGCCTCAGGCATGCAAGGCAAGCACTCTACCACTGAGCCACCTTCCCAGTCCCTAAGTTCTCTTTTTCATTAAGCCAAACTGGAATGAATATTGTATCATTTGTATTAGAGTAATTCTTTTTTTTCTTTTTATTTGTCAGTCGTGGGGCCTGAACTCTGGGCCTGGGTGCTGTCCCTCAGCCCTTCAACTCAAGGTGAGTGCTCTACCACTTGAGCCACAGCACCACTTCCAGCTTTTTCTGCTATGTGGTGCTGAGGAATCGAACCCAGGGTCTCATGCATGCAAGGCAAGCGCTCTACCACTGAGCCACCTTCCCAGCCCCTTAGAGTAATTCTTTAGGATTTTTACACAGACACAGACACAGACAGACACACACACAGAGACACACACACAGGTTCCATGAGAGCAACAGTTTTAACTTTTTTCTTCTTTTTTTTGTCAGTTGTGGGGCTTGAACTCTGGGCCTAGGCACTGTCCCTGAGCTCTTCAGTTCAAGGCGGGCACTGAGCTCTTCAGTTCAAGGCGGGCACTCCACCACTTGAACGAAGAGAGCTACTTCCAGTTTTCTGGTGGTTAATTGGAAATAACAGTCTCAAGGATGGAGTTTCCTGCCCGGGCTGGCTCTGAGCTGTGATCCTCAGATCTCCTCTCCTGAGTAGCTAGGATTACAGGCGTGAGCCACCAGCACCTGACCAACTTTTTTTTTTTCTTTTGGTTCCAGTGGTAGGGCTTGAACCCAGGGCCTGGGTGCTGTCCCTGACCTTTTGTGCTCAAGTGTGATGATCTACTACTTGAGCCACAGCTCCACTTCCAGATTTTTTGGTGGTTAGAGATAAGAGTCTGACTCTTGGAAGTAGCGCTGTGGCTCAAGCCGTAGAGTGCTCACCTTGAGCTGAAGAGCACAAGGACAGGGCCCAAGCCCAGAGTTCAGGCCCCACAACCAACAAAAACAAAAAAGAAAAGAGTCTGACTCTCCTGCTCAAACCGACTTTGAATTATAATCCTCAGATTTCAGCCTCCTGAGTAGCTAGGATTACAGGCGTGAGCCACCGATGATTCTCTGCTGTAGTCACTTTACAATCATTTTGGGCTCCAGAGGAAAAAAGATTCAACAATAAGTATTTTGTGTGGAAGGTGAACTTCCCTTCAAACCAGCCATACTTGCTTCTTCAAGAAAGCAGCTAATAGCCGGGTGCTGGTGGCTCACACCTGAAATCCTAGCTACTAAGGAGGCTGAGATCTGAGGATCCCAGTTCAAAGCCAGCCCAGGCAGGAAAGACCGTGAGACTCCTATCTCCAATAAGCCACCAAAAAACCAGAAGTGGCGCTGTAGCTCAAATGGTAGAGCACTCGGTGGCCCTGAGCTGAAGAGCTGAGGGACAGCGCCCAGGCCCAGAGTTCAAGCCCCATGACCAACAAAAAAAAAAAAAAAAAGAAAAGAAAGAAAGCAGCTAAGGGCTGGGCATGTGGCTTAGTTCATGAAGCCCTCGGTACCCCATAAACAGAAAAACCTTGAAGTGGTGCCTAGGCCCTGAGTTCAAGCCCCAGGACTGGAAAAAAAAATGCAGGTACCCTAAAGCAAACACCAGGATACACATTTATATAACAAAGACTATTCTATTACTGCTCAAGAGACCTACAGCTATTCTCAGGTTAGCTGGTGTGTGTGTGTGTGTGTGTGCATGTGTTTGGTTTTTGTAGTAAGTACCTGGAGTTGAACTCAAGACCTCACATGTGCTAGAAAAGTATTCTACCTTTAGAATCATACTCATTGTCTGACAGCCTTTGTTTTCGCATTGTGGGTGGACGGAGCAGTACGAGGCTGTATAGAATAGAGGGACGGTCCCTGCAGGGTGGGGCCTTTTTGAGGGTGTGTGTGCCAATCCTGGATGCTGTCCTTGGGCTTTCAAGCTCAGGGCTAGTGTTCTACCACTTGAGCCACGGCTCCACTTCTGACAGCTTTGGTAGTTCATTAGAGATAAGGATCTCTCAGACTTCTCCTGCCTGGGCTGGCTTCCAACTGAGGTCCTTAGACCTCAGCCTCCAGAGTAGCTAGGATTACAGGTGTGACAGGGGTGCCCAGCAGGGTACAGCCCTAAATCTACACTTATTTTGATAGACTTTTATCTAAAAGGAAAGGTGGACTGAGGTGAGTTTTACACTGATGCTCAAACATGGAAAACCAGTTTGGCTGGCTGCTTGGCACAACGGCATTAACCACTTCTGCTCTCCGGTAGATGTTTCCTCTGCTGCTTCAACAGCAGTTCCTGAGTCTCTTGTGGCAACCAGTGCTCTCTCAAACCAACTCTGAGGATTGGGTGAAAACGGCCCCTTTTCGAAGGGAGGTGGACGACCCAAGGAGGAGGATCTTCCCCTGGGTCTCAGCCATGGGTTTGTGCAAGGTCTGCATCACAATATGGATGAATAGGAAGAATCAGAAGAGATTTGGTAACTCACGCCTGTCAGCCTAGCTACTCAGGAGCCTGAGATTTGAGGATTGTGGTTCAAAGGCAGCCTGGATAGGAAACTCTGTGAGACCAGAAGTAGCAATGTGGATCGAGTGGTAGAGCACTAGCCTTGAGCTGAAGAGCTGAGAGACAGCGCTCAGGCCCAGAGTTCAAGCCCCAAAACTGAACAACAACAAAAATAAATAAATAAATAAATAATGTGTCAAAGTCAGTTTGCTAATTATCACAAATGTATCACACTAATGTAACCTTAATACTAGGAAAAACTAGAGAACCAGTCTACTTTTCACTCAATTTTTCTGTAAAACATTGCTAAAAAATCAAGTCTAGCCAGGCGCCAGTGGCTCACACCTGCAACCTAGCTACTCAGGCGGCTGAGATCTGAGGATCAAGGTTCAAAGCCAGCCTGGGCAGGAAAGACTGTGAGACTCTTTTTTTTTTGGGGGGGGGGTCTGGTTGTGGGGCCTGAACTCTGGGCCTGGGCGCTGTCCCTCAGCTCTTCAGCTCAAGGCTAGTGCTCTACCACTTGAGCCACAGCACCACTTTTTTTCTTTTTGCTTATGTGGTGCTGAGGAATGGAACCCAGGGCCTCATGCATGCAAGGCAAGCACTCTACCACTGAGCCATCTTCCCAACCCCAGTCCGTGTGACTCTTATCTCCAATAAACCACTCGAAAACCAGAAGTGGTGCTGTGGCTCAAGTGGTAGAGCACTTGCCTTGAGCTGAAGAGCTGAGGGACAGCGCCCAGGCCCGGAGTTCAGGCCCCACGACCGACAAAAACAAAACAAAACACAACACCCACGAACTTCATTCATTATCACCCACTTAGATCAGGAAAACGTTTCTCTGAAAGCTACCAAGCGCCAGATGCACTGTTCTGGGAAAGCTCAACCCTTTTCAATAGCAACGAACGGTGTCGGTCCCTGCCTTGTTTTCCTTTTGGCTGCCCTCAGCCCTTCAGCTCAGGGCTGGCGCGCCACCACCTGGGCCACGGCGCCACCTCGGGCGCTTCCTGTGGAATCGAACCCAGGGCCTCAGGCATGCGAGCCAGCACTCTACCGCCGAGCCGCCTTCCCGGCGCCGTTTGGAGCGTATCTGCAAAGATGCCCACGGGCTAAGCAATCGGGGCTGGGAGGCGGGGGGGGGGGGTAAACGGAGGCAGCTGCTGGCGGCGGGGGGAAGGGAGGCCTGGGTTCTGCGGACCACGGAACCTGCCGGCAGCGCCACCACGCCGGTGCAAAAGCAGGAACCTTCTAGTTCATACCGGCCCAAGGCACTGAGGAAGATCCCCTAGTGGACGGTCCCTTAGTAGATGGTCCCTTGGTGGACGGTCCCTTAGTAGACAATCCCTGGGTGTTCCGTCTCTTGGTGGACGGTCCCTTAGTAGATGGTCCCTTGGTGGACGGTCCCTTAGTAGACAATCCCTTGGTGTTCCGTCTCTTGGTGGACGGTCCCTTAGTAGATGGTCTCTTGGTGGACGGTCCCTTAGTAGATGCTCCCTCGCTGTCCGGTCCCCGATAGCTTGAAAAATGGACCCGCCAAGAAAACTGTTTACAGTTCCCCAGCGGAGCCGAAACCGCAGCAAAGGTGGAGAATCTTCTGAGGAAAAAACAAACACAAACCCAGCGGAAGGAGACTGCCGGCCCACGCGGCACCGCGGCGCCGGCGGCTCGGAAGGGCGCATGCGCATTTTGCCGCTGCCGCCGGCGGCTTCCAAATCACCCACCACCCAACGCGAGACTACAGAACGCAGGGGCGGAGGCATCACGTAAGGAGCGGGTGTGAGAAGACGGATTCCGTGGTGACCCAGTGGCCTAATGGATAAGGCATCAGCCTCCGGAGCTGGGGATTGTGGGTTCGAGTCCCATCTGGGTCGTACCCGGTTGCTTTTCTTTTTCTTCCTGAGAGGAAGGTAACTTAAGTAGACTTTGGAACAGCGTCTCACCTGTCTTCACATCCATTGTATTACACATTTACAAATTAAGAGACAGGCCTGTCTTCTAAACATTGCGGAACAGGGGACAATGATTGTACTAAAAAGTGACTTTTATTCTTCAAAGAGAATTGCATCCTAGCTCTACTGAGGAGCAACAGACAGCACTGCATCTATTTAGGGAAAATTCATTTGAACTTAGTGATTTTTTTAATCCTCTCTCTCTCTCTCTCTCTCTCTCTCTCTCTCTGTTTTTGCCAGTCCTGGGCTTGAACTCAGGGCCTGGGCACTGCTCCTGAGCTTTGTGTTCAAGGCTGACATCCTGCCATTGAGTCACAGCTGCACTTGGGCTTTTTCGTATTTAACTGGAGATAAGAATCTCAGGGGGCTGGGAAGGTGGCTCAGTGGTAGAGCGCTTGCCTTGCATGCCTGAGGCCTGGGTTTGATTCCTCAGCACCACATAAGCAAAAATAAAAAAGCCAGAAGTGGCGCTGTGGCTCAAGTGGTAGAGTGCTAGCCTTGAGCTGAAGAGCTGAGGGGCAGCGCTCAGGCCCAGAGTTCAGGCCCCACGACTGGACCCAAAAACAAAAAACAAAACAAAGAATCTCAGGGACTAGTGGCCTGTAGCTCAAGTGGTAGAACTCTCGCCTTGAGTTGAAGAGCTGAGGGACAACGCCCAGGCCCAGAGTTCAAGCCCCACGCCCGAGAAAAAACAAACAAACAAAAGAATCTCAGGAACTTTCCTGCCCAGACAGGCTCTGAACCTCAATCCTCAGATCTCAGCCTCCTGAGTAGCTAGGATGTCAGGCGTGAGCCTGAGATCTGAGGATTTGTGGTTCAAAGCCAGACCGGACAAGAAAGTCAGTGAGACTCATCTCCAATTAACCACCAGAAAATCAGAAATGAACCTGTGGCTCAAAATTGTAGAGCACTGACCTTGAACAAAATTGCTCAGGGACAGGGCCCAGGTTCTGAGTTCAAGCTCCACAACTGACAAAAAAAAAAAAGGAAAAAGAAACACAAAACCCTAGGAATCATAAATGGCACCCGTAAAAAAGAAAGAAAAAGAGCAGTACTTTCTTTTCCACCTTTCAGGCTGAGCTCTACCACAGCTAGCTATACTTGGGAAAACTTGTGCTGATGTGTACATCCAGATTGCAATGCTGCCTCTAGAATCTCCAGGACTAAAAGGAGAATTTATAGAAAAGCTATGCTATTACAACACAAATAAATATAATTTATGGTTTCTAGGCTGTTACAACACAAATCTAATTTATAGTTTCTGGCTTCAAAGCATTATGAGGAACAAAGTTTACGTAATGAGAATATCAGGTTTTGTTTGGTATGTGTGGATGATCTACAAATTAGTGAAATAAAAGAAATAAAGAATTAAGTCCAGTCCAGTTGTCTAGCATGAAAAGTTGAAAGTCTTCTTGCAAATTTGCACAAAAGGAATGTCAGCAAGTTAATGCCTGAAAACAACTGAAGGCAATTTGGATCTGAGTCTGCAACAGAAAAAGGTCATTAGAGGAAATGGGAAGTTCAGTTACCATTGGACAGTGTTGATTTCCTGGTGTTGATGGTTGCCATGGTCAGGAAAGATGTTAGAGCTAGGGGAAACTCGTAGGTTATGTTTGCAACTTGTGGTGAATCTGATGTTATTCCAAACTTAAACGTGCCTGCCTGAGAATTGCAAACCACAATTTAAAAAACATTTTATTTTGCCAGTCCTGGGGCTTGAACTCAGGGCCTGGGCGCTGTCCCTGAGCTTCTTTTTCTCAAGGCTAGAACTCTATCACTTGAGCCACAGTACCACTTCTGTGTTTTTTTCTGTATATGTGGTACTGAGGAGTTGAACCCATGACTTCATGCGGGCTAGGCAAGCACTCTACTGCTGAGCCACGTTCCCAGCCCCTGCAGCATTTTTTGGGTGGCTCCTACTTTCCCCTCTCCTCTCTCTTTCCGGGAGGCTTTCTCTTGGCATTGTTTCCATGCCAACTTCTCCCCAACAAGATGTCTCCATTGGCAAATCGAAGACACCCCATTCCGTCTTTCTCTAATTTCAGGTCCTGAAGATTTAAGAAAACAATTTTTTTGGGGGAGGGGAGAATTCAGTACTGGAATTTCGACTCATGACCTGTTTACCTACTAGCCAAGTGCTCTACCACCTGAGTCATACATCCGACCCTGCCTTTTGCTGACTAATTAGAGATGGAGTCTTGTGGAGAGTTTTTGCACCTGTATACTACTTAGGAGTCAGACCTGGAAGATTATGGCCCTAAATCAGTTCAGTCTCCAATTAACCAGTAGGATGCCAGGCTGGCGGTATGGCTCTCATGGAACAATCCAATAGAAAAATGCCATTTTTCCACTCGTCTTGGAACCTCATAAAAGCAACAAGAGAGATGAGAACCAGACCATGAACATCCCCTTCCAGGGAGCCAGGAGACACCCGGGAAAGCCAAGGATGGAAGAAGCCAGCCATAAAGGGCGCAATTCCCAGGAAGGTTGACTGAAGGAGGCTGTGGCTGCAGATCCCAGGACTGGCCCACAGAGGGCGCTCTCCAAGGTTAGGGTCACACCTAAGGAGGCCAAATAGTACTCCTTGTTTCTAATGCGTCTGGATTTGCCTCCCTGCCCCAAATGCCTTGGGCCCAGGAGCCCAGGAGGTGCTTGTAGCTCCTTCCTAAGCCACCCCAGATTTCTGCCCCACAGAAAATAAGAAATAGCGAAGACTTATTGTCTCAAGCTATTAAACGCAAGCATACTTTAGGGATCTAATGAAGAATGAAATAACAAGCTACTAGATGAAAAGTTTGCCTTCCTTGTCACGGAAGAAGAGCTGAGGGCAGGAAACTCTACCATGGTTCCATCCGATTGGAAGTTGAGGCTGTAAGGCCAGCAGGACTTTCCATGCTGCTCAACAGTCAAAGGAGCAGATCTGAAGGAGCTCTCTGATGGGTGGGTTGAATCTCTGACCCTCAGGATTGATTATTTTTAGATGAAGATAGACCTCTCATGAAAGATTAGTGTTTTTTTAGTTTATTGTTATTATAAAGGTGATGTACAGAGGGATTACAGTTACATAAGCCAGGCAATGAGTACATTTCTACATAAGCCAGGTAACGAGTACATTTCTTTTTGGACAATATCACCCCTTCCCTTGCTCTCTCCCAGTTTTCCCCTCTCTCCTGTGATTAGTGTTTTGTTTTTGTTTTTTTGGTTCTGGGGCCTGAACTCTGGGCCTGGGCGCTGTCCCTCAGCTCTTCAGCTCAAGGCTAGCACTCTGCCACTTGAACCATAGCACCACTTCGGGTTTTCTGGTGGTTTATTGGAGATTAGAGTCACATTGTCTTTCCTGCCTGGGCTGGCTTTGAACTGCGATTCTCAGATCTCAGTAGCTAGGATGACAGGCGTGAGCCACCGATGCCCGGCTTCTTGTAGAATTCTTAGTTGAGGTTCCACTGAGTCGGCCATTGGTTAAATCACTGCCAGTGAGTGCCCGCCATCTGCAGTGTCCTTTCCCTCCCTGAGCCTCAGATGCTATCTGGTGCTTTCTGGTGACTCAACGACATCCTTATCTGCCAAGCCTTCAGGTGGCCCTTCAAGAGTCACCCGGAAGCTCAGGAAACACAATGACATTCCTGTCACCTGAGAAATTCCAACACATAATTCGTGCTCAATAAATATTTGCTCAGCAGCCATGTACACCCCAAAGACCAGAACGTGCAGAGGAGGGGGGAGACTAGGAGGGGGAGGGGAGACCATCAGTCTCCTGGAGTTTTCCAGTTGACAGGAACATACAGCTATTGTGTGTGAGAGCCAGAGATGAGGAGCCCCGAGCAGCGAAACATCCCAACCCTGGGAGCAACTTCCCTGCGCGCTGGCTTCTTCCCAAGCACCTTGCTTGGTCTTCCTGGGTGGCTTGTTTATTGAAAGAGAACACCGGCCAGGCCCTAAGTATGCGCCAGTCATTTTCTTGTAAATCCATCTGGTGGCATTCTGGCATTGGACACCAGTCCCCCAGAATCCTTTGTGTTTTCCCCCATTGCTGGGGTTCTGTGCTTGCACACCAGACACTGTTCAGGGCTGGCCTTGGCCTCTGCTTGCATTCTTTCTAGCTGGTGTTACAGGAGCCCACTGGGCATCTCTCTATTTCTATATTTCAGGGTGTGGGATGTAGGGCATTTAAACATTCCTACCACAGGAGGATTTCCAGAACACCCCAAAGTAGATGTGGGCGACTTGAATGCCAACTCAGGAAGGTCTGTCTGAGGTGTGGTTGCAAGTGAGAATGCTTTAGGCTCCTTCATTTTATTCCCACTTGGCTGAAAGGAAGCGCATAGGAGCCGAGCCTGCAGGATTCCTGCCAAGTTTCTACTCAGCTCTAGAGGATTTCAGTTCAAAGCCAGCCCAGGAAGAAAGATCTGTGAAACCCCATTTCTGACCAGCAAAAAGCATGGCGCAAGTCGGTGAGCAAGAAAACAGAGGAAGCTTGTGGCTCTGAGTTCAAACCCTAGTAGTGGAACAAAAGGAAAAGGAAGGGCTGGGAAGGTGGCTCAGTGGTAGAGCGCTTGCCTTGCATGCCGGAGGCCCTGAGTTCGATTCCTTAGCACCACATAAGCAAAAAGAATAAAAGCCGGAGGTGGTGCTGTGGCTCAAGTGATAGAGCTGAAGAGCTGAGGGACAGCGCCCAGGCCCAGAGTTCAGGCCCCATGACCTGACCCCCCCAAAAAATTTTAATGAATGGTGTCTTGAGTCTACAGACACGGGCTTTGTGTGCACATGGCTGGTGATGACCGGAGAGGCTAGTCGTCAGTAGGAAGTAGAGAATTTGCTTCATTGGTTTGAGTGAGGGAAGGTTAGCTCGCTCCCTTCAATTGCAATCTGTAAAAAGAAAAGAAAAAAAAAGTGCTGCTCTTGAGGCTTGAACTCAGGGTCCTGATACCATTCCTGAACTTTTTCCCTCTAAACTGAGCTACAGCTCCACTTCCAGCTTTTTTGGTAGTTAATTGGAGATAAGAATCCTCCAGAAAGGCTGGGAAGGTGGCTCAGTGGTAAAGTGCCTGTCTTGCCTGCATGAGACCCTGGGTTCGATTCCTCAGCACCACATAAGCAGAAAAAGCTGGAAGTGTGTTGTGGCTCAAGTGTAGAGCTCTCGCCTTGAGCTGAAGAGCTGAGGGACAGCGCCCAGGCCTAGAGTTCAAGCCCGCTGACTGACAAAAAGAAAAAAGACTCTCACAGACTTTCTTGTGCAGGCTGACACTGCACTGGGCTTCTCAGCTCTCAGCCTTCTGAGTAGCCAGGATGACGGGCGGGGCCCTGAGCCACTGGCGTCCAGCTTTTCAGCTGTCATTTGATCTCCTGGTCTCCAAGCCACTTTCAGATGAACAGTGACACCTCTCCCTCACCACACTGCAGCCTTGCCGGCCGAGTTATCAGTCTGGTTTATGCATCTGAGTTTTGTTTTTATGAGTTGGGCCTATGATCAGTTCAATGATGAAACTGACTTGAGCTTCATATGACATCCTACTTCCTTGTACTGTCAGCCTTCCATTTTTAATTAATTCGTTTGTTTATGCTGTCAGTTGTGGAGCTGGCTTGGAACTTTGATTCTCAGATCTCAGTCTCCTAAGTAGCTGGGATCTCAGGTGTTAGCTGCCACTAGTGCCCAGATTATATCTCCTCTTCCTCCTCTTCCTCCTTCTCCTCTTCCTCACGGGGAATCAAACCCCAGGGCCTTGCGCACGTTAGGCAAATGCTCTGCCGCCGAGCTGAGCTGCGTCTCTCCCGATGAGTAAATTCGCTTCACTGTAGCCCACAAACCACAACACACAGGTCAGAAACCTGTTCTTCAGAATCCCTGCAGTTCTTCTCGTTGGGGTGCTCCCTCCCTGAGGGCTGGGGGCTCCTCCTCACAAGTCCTCAAGGCCCTGCATTCTGGATATTCTGCTTGTCAGGATATTCTTTCTGCAGCTGCAATTGGACCCATCATTTCCTAACTCCTACCTATGGGTTCTTTCACAGTGAAGAAGAGCCGTTCTTATGTGTGGGCAGCCTGCCTGGCAGGCCTCCAGTGGGAAGAGCTTGGCCATCCTTGCCATGGCTTCTGCGCTTGCCCCCCACTCCCCAGAGCCTGGGGCTCGGGCCTGGCCTTCCTATTTTCCAGCCACCACAGTGCAGGGGCTGGGTGTGGAGGCAGGTGCCTGGATGGAGAGTTCCAGGCCAGCCTAGGCTACCCCAAGAAGACAAGAAAAAAGCCAACCTCACCCCCACCCCCAAAAAACAAATCTACCAAATCATGAGTGCAGCGAAACCACGTTACTTCCCCAGTCTCTTTTGGCTCAGATGCTCCAAACAAGCCAGCCTCCTTTCTGTGGCCTCCGGGCCCGGTCTCCTCTGGGTCCTGTGGGTGGGGGGTGAATCCAGTCTCCTTGGGGAATGGTCCCTGTGCTCCCTCCGGGCGACAAGGCCCAGGTGTGCGCCGCAGGGCACCTCCTTCACAGAGTTCGCCTCCTACAGAGTCAGGGCTGCTTCCCGGCTTCCCGCCCGGCTCACCTAGCCTAGCCGCGAAAGACCCCGGTCCCCAGGAAGACAGAGAAACAGGCCAACACAACACCAACTCCAGAGAATAGGGCAGGGGAAGGAGAGGGAGAGAGGAGGGAAGAGGGAGGGGAGAAGGAGGAGGAGAGGAAGAAGTAGGGGGAAAGGAGGAAGAGGAAAAGGAGGAGGGGGGATAGAAGAGAAAGGAGAGGAGGGGGAGGGAGGAGGTGGGAGAGGAAGAGGAGAGAGGAAGATAGAATGAAGAGGGAGGGGAGGAGGATGGGGAGGAGGAGAGGGAGAAGTAGGGGAAAGGAGGATGGAGGAAAAGGAGGAGGGGGAGAGAAGAAATAGGAAGCAGGGGAAGGAGGGAGGGAGGAGGAAGAAGGGAGGAGGGAGAGGAGGAGGAAGAGGGGAAGGAGAAGGAACAGAAAAGGGAGGAGGGAGGGAGGAGAGGAGAGGAAGAGGAGGGAGGGGAAGAGAGGAGGGGAGAGGTAGGGGAGGAGGAGGGGGGAGGAGGAGAGGAGAAGAAAGAAGTAGGGGAAAGGAGGAGGAAGTGGAGGAGGGGGAGAAAGAAGTAGGAAGTAGGGGAAAGGAGGGAGGGGGAGGAGGGGGAGATAGGAGAGAAAGGGGAGGAGGGAGGGGGAGGGGCGGTGTTCGCCGCGGCACCCCC